TTTTTAAAAGTCTAGGAAATAAGATTCTCTTTTTATTTCCTTTTGGGTTTAAAGGATGACTGGATATATTCTGTGTGAGTGAGGTCCACAGACTTTACTGTTATATCAATATTTGCAGGTTATCTTTGATTGTGTAAAATACTACAGAGCAATGATTTTTCTGGAAGTGCCTGTGTTGATCGGTGGTGTTATTAGAAATTTGTAAATTCTGAATCTCACTGATCACCAAATAGCGGCATTCTCTAGACCTGCTTGGATAGTGTTTTTATTTGAGAAGTGGTCCTACGAGTACTGAAATTTTATCTAGCCGGCATGCTAGTTTCGCTGGCTCGGCGGAGTCATGGGTGGTCTGCTTCTTTGCAAAGATGAAGAGTTTTGACTCTGTTGAGAATTAATGGTTGATCATGCTGGACTATTGGGATGTTTTCTCGGCATTAGGTAGTTTTTTATAGATGTGACGTCAAAAGCAGTGTACATTTGAAATGTGAATTATATATCTAGCCATAGAAATTATTCTCGAGGTGTATCCTCCCATCTGTTCCTTTTATATTTATTTTTTGTTTATTGCAAATGCTATTTTTTCATTTGTTTCGAATTAAGGAGCTTAATTATCTCTTCCCTAGTCTTCCTTCCCATCTCCCTCTTGTGCTTTTCTTGCGTGTAACTTTTGGGATATTGTTGAAATTCTAGTGTATGCCAAGAATGGGCACTTGCTTCGAGCTTGATGACAGGTTCTAACCTGATGTTAAATATTTTTTATTTTTTATATTCTTAGAATAATTTAAATTAAGAATTTCAGATATCTATTTTTTTTTTTGGTCCATGATTTTTACAAATCTATTACACATACATGTATATATGAATATATATATTCTTTCCGTTAAAAAAATGTAAGTTATTTTTTTTTTGAGTTGGATGTTAAAAAATGTAAAGTATTTTTAATCTTTTAAGGTGTAATTATTATTTTTTTTTCTAAAAGTGTCTTTTGTAGAGTATTTAATAAGAGTAAATATGAAAAAATAGGATTAATTTAAAAGTAGATAATTACTTTATTGAAGGATAAAATTTGATTAAAAATGTCTTGTATGTTTTGGTAGAGGAAATATTGAATTTGGCCACTCAACTAATGGTAGAAATCTTTGATATGATGAAGTATAACCGTTCCCCGTGAGCGTGAGCGCATGGCCTTTACTAGAACGACGTGGGCAGTGCCCTGCACGGGATTCTCGTTAATAAAGACAATGTCTCGATCGTTAATCAGTCGACTTGGTTAACGTTAATAATATGTTGTTATTAAAAAAATGAGGATATTTCTGATAATAAAATTACATCTTTAACATTTTATAATTTTTAACTGATTGTGACTATTTTTTATCATGAATTAAATATTTTTTTTATAAAAAGGACCACAATAGTGACAATATTATTATAAAAGATGTGCTGCTGCATAGGATTAAAGAAAAAGGATTTCTTGTTTTGTTATCTATAAAAATAATAAGAATAAAAAAATAAGAGAATTTTAATGTTAAAAAAATGTTTGATACAAATTATATTTTATATACAATAATATGTTAATACAATGATCCAATAAAAGAGAAGAGGCAATTTTTAACACTTGTAGGCGCAATATCGCACAGTTATACAACTATTTACGTAGCTTATTCGTATTAACGCACTTCCTCCGTTGTGATCCCATATCTTCACCACACCGTGCAGATTTTATTTTTTTTTAAATGAGCATCACACGTTATATGGTGTTTCTAAACCCCTGCCGCATTTTATATTGGGAGAATGACAATAAAAGTTTTTTTAATCATGAAAATGACATTTTGACCCTTCAAAATGACAGAACTCCTTTGAAGTCCCTAAATGTTGTTTTGTCATTAAAGAATTAATGTAAATGATTAAATTATTCTTAGTTCAAATATCAATTGTTATTTATAAATTTTACTTTACGATTCAAAATTTTTTTTAAAAAATTATAAGAATTTAACAGTAATTCACAAGTTTACATTTAAAATCATGATATTGCACGTATCACACAAGGTTTGTTTTAAAATTCATAACTTTTCTTCTTAAAATTTAAGGAATTCAACAATAATGCATACATTTAAATTAAAAATAATTTGATCATTTATATTAATTTTTTAGTGATAAAAAAGTTCTTAGGGACTTTCAGAGGAATTATAATATTTTGAGAGGTCAAAATGTCATTTATATAATTTTAAAAATTTTTATTATTATTTTGCTTTTGTATTTCATTACACCTGATCGGAAGACCCGCCAATAAAGAGTTGACAAAAAGTAGGAGAACGCGAATTAACGCGGACTCGTTGGTTGGAAAAAAAAAAACTGAGGGAAAATGAGAATGGGGGACCATTTTTAAGAAAAAATAATGTGGGATCCAATAACAAAGGGTTGAGGGAAAAAAAAAGGATAATTTCATTTAAGGATCACAGTAGATTGTAGACTTAAATTTCAGGTAGCTCCAAAACAATTTTAAAATTTCAGTTCAATTCAAGAAATAAAAGTTAACATAATTTTGAAGATAAAAAGATTAAAATATCCTTAACTTATTATATAAAATTACTATTTCTTACTTCACTTGTTAATTTATGAATATGAGTTACAAATCATCTGAGTTGACGTGTCAATAATTATATAAAACTTAATATTAGTTTTTTAATCATAAACAACATCAATTGTAAATTACTAATAGATCTTCTAATTTACTAACATCAATTGTAAATTATTGATAGATCTTGTAATTTATAAGTAATATTGATAAATTACAAGTGCATTAAATAAATTAACAACTAATGGTTCTGCATAATAGGTGAAGAGTATTTTAATATTTTTATTGTTAAAATTCTTTTGACTTTTCTCCCTTAGATTAAATTAAAATTTCAAAAAAAATTTAGACTTACTTGAAATTAAGTTTATATAGTGGTCCTTGATTGAAATTCTTTAAAAAAAAATTCAAAAAAAGATGTTACCGCGCAATCAATTATTTTTTTTTAAGAAAATCACAATCAAGAACTTTTCAGATCACTTTATTTGCCAAAAAAAGACCAAAAAACTCTAAAATTGCTCAGTAAGGATAAGAGACCAAAATATAATTAAAATTTAGTTTGAAAAGACAAAATTACCTATCATTTCAAGTTTGAACCCACAATCCCTTGGTTGCTCAAAAATATTACTAACCAAACCTCTATATATATATATATATATATATATCATAACCTTTGTTTTTACATTCCAAGTCAAATATTTATCAAAACTTAATGGTTACTTGTCATTTCAAAAATGATAATTCATTAAATTATTAATAAGACTTGTTAAAAAATTAATATGCACCAATTTTTATAAATATTTACTTATTTTTATTATCAAAAACTTTATATGCCGCAAACTTATATATACATGTTATTTTATTAAAATTTGCTTGTCAAATTATTAAAAAAAATTAAAATTAATAACAAAATTTATTATTTTATAAATAATTATTTATTATTTTATAAATAATTATTTATTAAATTATCAATGAGAACTTGTTAAAAAAATTAATACAAACTTTTTTTAATAAATTTTTATATATTTTTATTATTAAAAGTTTACTTATCAAAAGTTTATATGAACTTATAATTTTATTAAAATTTAATTGTTAAATTATTAAAAAAATTAAAAATTAATAAAAAAATTTATATTTTATAAATGATTACTTATTAAATTATTAACGAGAACTTGCTGAAAAAAATTAATATGTATTTATTTTTATAAATGTTTACTTGTCAAAAGTTTATGTAAATTTATTATTTTATTAAAATTTACTTGACAAATTATTAAATTTTGTTTGAATGTTTATAAAAATTTGTTATTTCATAAATAATTACTTATTAAATTATTAATTGAGACTTATTAAAAAAATTTAGGTTAAAATATACTTTTGATCCTTTAAATTTATATAAGGTTTTATTTTGATTCTTAATTTTATAAAGTATTTTTTCAATATTTTAACCCCAACACTAATAGTTTTAAGTGTTTATTTTTTTATTTCAATTATTGTTATTTTTTTTTAACATGAAATTTTTGTCATTATTCAAAAGTTTAATGTAAATTTTTTTGTAATAAAACTAATGGTAGTATGGTTAAAGAATTTAAAAACACTTTATAAAATTAAAAAATAAAAATAAAAATATATATAAAATTATAGAATTAAAAATATATTTCAACCAAAAATTTAATTTCTAACCCTTTTTTAGTAAATGCTTGCTAAAATAATTTCATGACTTCCGCGAACGAAGCCTATAATTAGTTCATTGTCAATTTATCATGCGGCCTGCTAATGCTGTAGCTGTACGATTCCTCCTAGGCTTCAACCTCCTCCCGTCCACCTCGTGGAAGATATCCTTCGAGCGAAGTCTTGCCCTTTAACTAATAAAAAATGAAAAATGGGTCTCGTTCTTACTGTTCAAACAACTGTAGTTCTGCAGTAACAGTTATTATGCTTCGCTAAAAGTATTATTTATATCCGTACCAATACTTATCACTATTCTTCTTCCTAATACTTATCCCGCCAGTTTTCTCTTTTCCATTCTTTCTTCTTCTTTTTCTTTTTTTCTATTTGACCACAAATGAAAGTGGATCCCGTTATCGCTGCTAAAAAAACCGTAGTTCAACGGGAACAATTATTATGCTTTACAATATTATTAGAAGATTAGATTAGATTCTGTTATTCTCTTGATGTTTCAATTCCGTTGTTACGACTTAGGCGTTGCGGATACCCCAGGAATAATTAAAAAATAAAAAAATGAGCCAAATGCAAAGTCTAGCAATCAAATTGTCAAAACTTTGGCGCCCCGCGGAAGGACCAACCGCTCGTGGGCAAATGACAGCCAGAGAATGGAGAGAAAGAGGGAACATAGTTCCGTTTCTCCAAAAGAGCCACGTTCACTGTTTTTCCACTACGTTTTTGTCATTTTCCTGCTCTTATTTGCCCTGGGGTTCTAGAATTTATCCCCCATTATTTCCTACCAATGATTGTTGTGCCGTCATGGGTCTACATCTTCGTTTTTTATTTCTGATTTTCATTTTATTCGTGGTTCAGATAACTATTTTATTGTGAGTTAATTAATTAGTTCATTTACTGCCTTCTCAGAGGAAGGCTTTAGCCATTGAGAGTTGAGACGCGTCTTGCAGAAGCCATGTCATTGGCGATGAGTTTCCGAGTTTCACCGTTTTCTGGAACTAACAGAGTGTTCAGGCATCGGTGCCGACTTAAAGCTCCTCGAAGCTTGGCTAATGGAAGCTCTACTGTATTGTCGTCAGATTCAGTCGCCGTTAGCCGAACCTCTCCGCCTGTCGATAGAAAGATAAATGATTCCGTCATTGAAGAAGGGAATGGGCAGTTACCGGTTACTAAAGATGAAGATAAGATAAGGAGTGCCGTTTTGACAGAGTTAGCACCACTTTGGGACGATGGTTATGGGACTCAGACTGTGGAAGATTACTTCATTGCAGCCAAGGAAATGAATAAGTCTGGTGATGGAGGGCCCCCCCGTTGGTTTTGCCCAGTTGAGTGTTCTCCTACTTTGAAAGACTCTCCAACTCTTCTTTTCCTACCTGGTAAACAATTTTTTCGTATTGCTTGATTTTAAATGCTCTGTGGTGTGATTCTGAGTCCTGTTTTTTGGGATATATTGGGGGGCCTGTGCGGTTAAAATGGCTCAGATAAAGTTTTTCTTTTTTCACGTTTTTCGATGAGAATGTTAATTGTATTCAACCGTCTGTCATGATTGTCTGTTTTTGAATATTATCTAACATTTTAAAATTGCTTGAATTCAACGCATGCAGGGCTAGATGGTACTGGAATGGGCCTGATTTTGCACCATAAAGCTCTTGGGAAGTATGTTGTATTATTCAGATTAATGAAATACTTAACATCTCGAGCTTGCAGCATTAGAGCCAAGGCTTTAAACATTGCATATGTGGAGTCTCTTTCTGGTTATTACAGTAATTATTTTTTTCTGTACAATGTTTAGTTGAAGGTTATTGGCAACGTTCATCCTTCTTGAAGAGAAATGGCCCCCCGACCTTACTTGAACAGGATCTATTCTATAGGCTCATTCCCCTGTTTCCTTGAGTTTAGAAGAATTGTTCCCATTAATTGTTTGCATTTGTGAACTTACGGCTACGCTGTCTATACTCGTGCAAATTCCAAGTTGACCATTTTATTGTCTGGTTCTCATGAATTATTCTGTCAACTTTTTTACGATTCTTTTCTTTTTACTTTTTCTTTCCTTAATGCAGGGCTTTTGAAGTTCGCTGCTTGCATATTCCTGTTCATGATCGAACTTCATTTGAAGGTCTTAGTCTTTTAAAGTATTCTTTTGTCGATTTTTCCTGGAAGTTATTGATCTATCTGTGTTGTGTTATATAGTTGTTGTTGTTGTTATAGTCATCCGTGTTTTATAGTTGTAGGTTTTATTGTTATCAGTACTAAACTGAGACTTATTTTCTTGAATTTCACAAATATGAAGGATTGGTGAAAATTGTTGAAGAAACTGTAAAACTTGAGCATGCTCTATTTCCAAATAAACCAATTTACTTGGTGGGGGATTCTTTTGGGGGATGTTTAGCACTTGCCGTTGCTTCTCGTAATCCAACAGTTGACCTAGTACTGATATTGGCTAATCCAGGTAAATCCGAGGATACTCTATTCATTTTGTAAAATTTGTTCTTGTCTTTTTCTTTTTTTTTTTCATGCGAAAGGTCAATCCTCCACTAAGGTTTTACATTATGGCTTTCCACTCTAGCTACATCATTTGGCAGATCTCGATTGCAGCCTTTGTTTCCAATCTTGGAGGCTTGGCCTAATGGACTGCATGCCGCTGTTCCATTTCTTCTTAGTTTTGTTATGGGTAAGTGATCTGTAATTCATTCTCGAGTGCTGCACGTCCTTCTTCATCTCCTTTCATTCTATATGACTTGTGGATAGGAATAAGTCCATGTATACTCCATTTGTTGCTGCTATGTCATGCACAAACGCATTATTATATATCGAATTATTTGTGCTCACGTTGTGGCCATGATCGAGTAATATGTTCGGTGAATCTTCTTCAATAGTTAATTTTTCAAAGAAGCAAAACTTCTATCTTGTCATGTTTCCAATTTGCAGTACAAGACTGTGCAACGAATTTTAGGTAAAGTAGCATTTTCTGCACCTTTAAGAGAATGTTTAATGGTCACGCATTTAAAGCTTCTTGTTTCTTATGAATTCTAGGTTCTAATTATATTAATCATGATCCAGTTCCTTTTGTTTGAAGAGCTGCCACAAGATTAAAGGAAATCACTCAATAAAACAGCATTAAAAAAATAGGCAGCTTATATTTTTTTTTAAGTCTTAAGGTTGTGAGCATTCGAATTGCTTTTTTACGGTTTTATTCAAAGGGAGAGTGATCAAATCTCTTACTTCGGCTTTGTATTAATAGAATTTTTCTTTGACTTTCTGGGTTCATGCTACATTGCTTTATTATATCATGATATCAGGTGATCCAACAAAAATGGCAGCTGTCAACATTGAAAATAGGCTTCCTCCTATGAAAAAAATTGAACAATTGTCTTACAACCTTACTGCATTGCTGCCATGTCTTCCTGTAAGAAGTGTTTAATATTCCATCCATTTTTCTAGGCTGTATGATTTTATATTTATTCCACGATTTTTTGGCTCTACTTTATGACGAACTTGAAAGTTCCTAATATTCAGGCTGTATTTTACTTTGTCTGATCTCTTATCAGGAGTTGGCCGATATTATACCAAAGGATACCCTTCTTTGGAAGCTGAAGCTTCTTAAATCTGCTGCTGCATATGCTAATTCACGTCTTCATGCTGTGAAAGCTGAAGTGCTCGTGTTAGCTAGGTTATTACTGAGAACATTTCTTCACTCCATTTGCAATTCTGTTTATCATGTGTAATATAAAATATGTATCGAGTTACTTTAAAGTAGATTGACAGAATTTTAAATTCTAGTGGCAATGATAAAATGCTTCCCAGTGAAGATGAAGCTAGAAGACTAAAGAGCTCATTGCAACACTGCAAAGTACGTCACTTTAAGGACAGCGGACATACCCTTCTTTTGGTACGCGAAATGACTTTATATATTTGCAACCATCTTTTCTACGTCTTCTAGTGCTTCTAAATATGGTCTTTGGAGTCGAAGTTCATAACTTGCTGGTTTGCTTCTATGATGTCACAATATCTTCTATTTCTGTTATTTGTTCACCCAGATAACCGTAACTTCTTTGTTGTGTTCTTTCTCTTTTTAAGCTAATTTTGTTAGTTTTTTTTCTTAGCTACGCATGGATATATGCCACAATATCTCTTGTATTCAAGAAATTTTTTTAGGATATGCAGTCTCTTTAAATGATAAGTGCTTTTACAGTACATCACCATAAAACGACAAACAAATGAAAGGATGTGCTAATGTGTACAAGTTATATATACAATGCTCAGGGTTATGGGACGAACTTGAATAATTAATTGTATTTTATGCGTGGTAGTGTAGGAAGCTGGCATTGGTTTGTTGACAATAATCAGGGGGACTTGCATGTACCGCCGTTCAAGGAGACGTGATTTGGTCATGAATTTTATTCCTCCCAGTGCGACAGAATTCAATTATGCGAGGGATCAAGTAGTTGGGTAATTTGATTAAACAAGAATCAAAATCATAATCTTTTTTTTCTTTTATGAACTTTCAGGGCTTGCAGCGTAATTCTTGCAATCAATTTGTTATTAGCTGTCTCTTATTCCCAAAAAAATAAGAATAATAAGTCCAAAGCTGATAAGCTGATCGCATGAACGACAGGTCATTTCGTATTGCTACTGGTTCTGTGATGTTCTCAACTTTGGACGATGGTAAGATTGTGGAAGGTCTCGCTGGTGTTCCAGATGAAGGTCCTGTCCTATTGGTTGGTTATCACATGCTCATGGGATTAGAGCTTATTCCCCTTGTTGATGAATTTTTAAGGCAGAAGGGTATCATGCTTCGTGGTATGGCCCATCCTGTGCTGTTTATGGAAAACAAGGATAATTCTTCTGCTGAGTTTTCTATGTCTGATTGGGTAAAGATATTCGGTGGCGTACCTGTTTCAGCAACCTATCTTTATAAATTGCTTTCAGAAAAATCACACGTTCTCCTATATCCTGGTGGAGCACGTGAGGCTCTCCATTTCAAGGTGCATCAAGTTCCTTCGTTCTATAGGGTCTTCTTTCTATTTCAACTGGAGAAAAACTGATGCTCTAGTAAATATCTCCATTTCACTGTCATGTGCTGGGGATCATAGGTTTCTACCTATATCATGAAGTCAAAGATACAACTGTGTTCGCACTAGCTTCGTAATTCTGTCTTGTTATTCATGCTTGTCGATAATTTAAAATCCGTACTTATTTGCTTCCATAGTTTCCAGGGAGAGGCATACAAGTTAATATGGCCTCAAAATCAGGAATTTGTGAGAATGGCAGCACGGTTCGGAGCCACGATTGTGCCATTTGGAGTTGTGGGTGAAGATGATATAGCTGAAGTAAGTTCTTTACTTTGAAGCCTCGACGCCTTCATTTTCTTCTGCTAATCTACCAAGTTAAGGCTGACTTCAGCTTTACTCCCCAACAAAATTTGGAATTGATATTTATTACCTCAAACTGTTAGGATGTCGTGTAATTGTGGATGACACCTTTGCTGTGTTTGGGTTGAATGTGTGGGTGTAAGGAAGAAAATTGTCGGTGACTTTTATTCTTGTGAAGCTTGAGTTCGTGGTTAATTGTACTTGCCCTTTGGTTTGACCATTGTTGCTCTGGCTTTAACAGTTGGTACTTGACTACAATGATCTAATTAAGATCCCCATCATTAACGATCACATCAGAAATTCTAATCGTGATGCTATTAAGATAAGGTAATTCTTTTTCTTGACGTGTTTCTCTTTCACTAATTCTTCCTATTCCATCACAACTGAGGATTTGGCTCAAATAAAATACTTTTTTCAGTTCTTATTATTAGATATCTCTAACTATCTTATTGGAACTAAGGAGAGATTATTAAATTATTAATCTTGTTTGAAAATTGAATAAATTTTTAATTTTACTCCTATTTAAATGAAAAAAATTCAAATTTGCATTACATTCTTTAGTTAATGAGTTAAATAGGGGTAATATTAGAAAAACATAATTAATATCTCATCAAGCCCTTCTAAAAGGTGCTCTGTAATAAGGATTGTAGGGAGTATATTGCAATTGAGGATATTGTTTAGGCATATTCTTCCTTTAGTCCACATTATAAGGCACCTTCTAAAAGCATTTTTCTTTCTTTAATAAAACACACTATAGGCGTTAATTATATTTTTCAATATTATCCCCATTCAAACTCATTAACTATAAAAGAGAATGTAATGCAAAATTCAAATTATTTAATTAAAATAGAGGGCAAAATTGAAAGTTTATTTTATTTTTAGATAAAGTTAATAGCGTAACTACTTTTTTTTGATTTCAGGTTTCACTAAAGTGGTTGAGTGTGTCTTATAATAAGAATAGAGGGAGTATAACATTTTCCTTAAAAAAAATGGTCATGGAAAAATTTCACTGTAGATCCTTGAACTAAATATAATAAAAAAGAGAATTCTTGAATTTCTAAAACTTCACTGCAATTCTAGGGTATTGAATTGAAATTAAAATTCTTTAAGAAATGATAAGATTGTCCCTATTAAAATTCTCTAACACAATTTGTTCGTGTCCCTATTGTATGTTTTTCATTACCTTTAAGGTTGTTCGTATCCCTATTTCACTTGTTTATTACAACAATTTCATTTAAATTAATTCCAAAGTATTGCTTTCATGTTAGTACGACTTGTTCGTGTTTTTACTGCATGTGATTCATTATCCTTCAAACTACTGTTTATTACCTATCCTACTTTACTTGTTCATTACAACACTTTCACTTGAATTAATTTCAAATGTTGCTTTCATGATAGCATGACATGTTCATGTCCCAACTGTATGTTGTTTATTACCCTTCAAACTGTTAGTCATTGTTCTATTTCGCTTATTTATATTCCTACATATTTATAGTTCATTTTTTCCTATTAAATTTTTTTTCCCTCTTCCAATAGAGACAATCTTGTCATTTTTTAAAGAATTTTAATTTTAATTCAATACTCTAAACTTGCATTGAAGTTTCAAAAATTCAAGGGTTCTCTATTTTATGATCTCTAGTCAACGAATCTTCACTAAAATTTTCCCAATAGTTATTGTTGTGTGGATTCCTTTTCATTTTATCAAACTTATCTTTTTCCTCCCTTAAATTGTAGGGATGAGACGAGTGGGGAGGTAGCAAACCAAAGCCTCTTCATTCCAGGGCTACTACCCAAGATACCCGGTCGGTTTTACTATCTATTCGGGAAGCCCGTGAGAACGAAAGGCAGGGAGAAGATGCTAGAAGAGAAAGACAATGCCAACCAACTGTACCTGCAAATTAAATCTCAAGTTCAGCACAATATAAATTACTTGATCAAGAAGCGTGAGGAGGATCCCTATAGGAATATTGTTGATAGAATAATGCATCGTGCAATTTATTCTTCCGATACTCCAGCATTCGAGCCCTGAAAAGTGTTCAATAATAGGTATATTTTCATCATAATTACTTAAGATGGGGTATATTTTAAGTGCCAGATCAGCAAATTTTAATTTATTCCCCCATCTTATTCTGGTGTCACTGTGGAACAGCCTTGCACATATTTGTAATCCAACAGCAAATGATAGCCGGTGCCAGTGGATTACAAAGGAATGTTAAGAAACCAAGAGTTGGTGGTGGAGATGGAGCTCTTAGCATGCTGGCAAAATAGACATGTGTTACCGGTCCATTTAATATTTAGTCAAGTAATTTAATTTCTATCTGGCGAACATTGAGTTGGAGAAATAAAATATATTATTGCGAGATACCTTGAGCAGGGAGAAGGGGCAGATTTGTAGTGAGAGTCTGTGATGATATAGTTATGATTCTTGGGAGTACTGAATCGTGACTATTTATAATAATGTATCATAAAACATATTATTGCGATTATATATTACTGAATCATGACTATTTATTACATTTTTGTAATTGTAATAATGTTCAGTTCATTCTCCATCTCTCGTCTCTTTAAACGTTCTGCATTTTTCTGGAGATTAATAACCACTTGAATCATGACTATTTATGTACATACTACAACATCATTTTTTTTTCTTTTTTTTTTTCTGGGCATCCCTTCTGCTTCATGAAGACCTTCTCTTGAAGTTGACTTGATGAGGCAAAGAAAACTGCGGAGTAAGCGATCCAAAGCTTGTAGATTACTCGGAAGTTGATCTCTTGTGGGATGTGGCCGACACCATCACTTCGGAAAACTTGTTTTCAACCACTTAAGAACCAGAAGCAGTGGAGAAGATAGGCTTGTGTACAGAGAATAAGATTCTGTTTCAATATGCTATTTTGTCAAGCCAAGAACAGGGACAGAATCCATATCCAGGCATATGTCACGTAAAGGTAGCATATGGTTCGCCCCAATGCTTGATAAGTTTGAATCTGTCTTTTTTAAGTGGACTGAGGTGGAATGTAAATTCTCATAATCTTTCTTCTATATAGGGAGAGCTTGTAGATTAGAAGAGTTGGCAAAACAACAACACTGAAAAAAACAGAGTGACTCTGGACAAGAGGCATGGGAGGATATGGTTACCGGCTCCAGACCTACACCAACTGTGCTACTATGGGGTCAAGGACAGGTGAAATATTTGGACCCGTTACGCTTCTTCCCAAGTCCGACGTCAGTTCAGAGGACTACTACGACTACGACGAATACGATCATGTTCAAAGCAAAACATTAGTCCCTGTTGTCTCGAAACCTTACGACGACTACAGACATGGCGCTCCAACAAAGGTTTACCCCGCCAGCTATGATGATGAATGGCACATGAAGACTAAACCGGTTCATGTTCATGGTCGCCCACATGGAGGCGACGAGTTGCTTCCAAAGAGGACAATGGTTCCGGTGGCCACCAGGCCTAACGGTGGCTATGAATACCCAAACAGCTCTCCGACAAAGCCATACCACCCCGGCAACGATAACGAGTGGTATCGCCAACACAGGGATGATGAGTTGCTTACCAAAAGACACTCAGGGGTACCAGTTGCTTCCAGACCTTTAGGCGCCGATGAATACGGACATGGGTCTCCCAAGAAGACTAATCCTGCAAGAGACGATGGGAAACCCCATAACTTGCTAACCAAAAGAACAGTGATACCGGTCGGTACCAGACTTGATGGCCGCGAATACGAACATAGCTCTCAGACGGCACGGGCTAATCCAGCGAGACATGATACTGATAGCAAACGGCATGGCACGCAGGAACCTCCAGCAAGCCAACCAGTCATCTGGACAGATTGGCGTCGGTCCCCCCGGTCAGCTGCATATAATGGTAACGAAGAAGAACCCAAGGCCACTGATAGCACAAACAGAAGCGGCAAGCCTATAATTAGTCAAGATTGGAGTTCATCCCCAAGAAAAGGGGCCAGACTCGGTGAGGCCACAGATGATATTGACAAGGTTGCGGAGATGTTTATACAAAAAACAAGGCTTGCCCGTGCTTCAGAAGGTGAATACAAAGTCCCCAAACCCAGTGCAAAGAATCCTTTTCCAACTCCAAATTATGATTCCCGCGATCGCAGACACTTGGGTGCGGATAGGCCAACCCCAACTGACCCAACTAATCATGGCCTTGGCGGTTCCATCGACGCTATCAGGTGCTCTGCAACCATAGACAGCTGGCAAGCTAAGGAGAAGTATAATGGCGAGAGGGTCTGAAATGAGTGCAGTTCTCGTGTTCGGAACGCTGGTTTTGACTAGTCCTGAGTGTTTCTCTGTCGATGCTGTCTTGTCACTTATTGTGTTTACCTTCAACTCTCTGTTACCAAGTTGGTGCTTGTAATTGTAGCTCTATGTAAGCATAGGTGGTATGAAAACTGAGAAGGCATGGATCATAATGTAAGGTGCTATAACTAAGGCTAGAATAAATTTGTCTAGTATGCTATGCTTGCTGCTTTTCAAGCTTGCAGCTTCCATATTCAAGTGCAAATCTTTGACACATGCTTGGATGTTGGACCCGCATAGACCAGGTAGGGTCCCGGAATCAGTCTATTAAATTGCGAAATCTAATACGTAGACCCACTGGCCACCGCCATTCCTTCGGAAGCCACGGATACAAGAGGATTTGCATTTGATGATGGTATTTAATATAAACTCTGAGTACGAATGCTATTTAAATTATTAAAATTTAAATCTAACAATTTAAATAAATTTATTTATTTATTAACCTTAAATGAAATATAATTTTATAATTATTGATTTAAATTTTAAAAGTTCCGATTATAAATTCCAATCCAATACCAGAGCTAGATCACACATTCATTTGAGCTGTTCTCACTCTGAGGCGCTCGAGTTCGAAACGTTGGTTTCAATAATTTTTTTTATTGACTGGATTTTTGAATTAGTCTTATAGTCAAATAAGCCAAATTAAAATGAGAAGCAATTTTTGCTTATTTTTATAATCAATCATGACTTGAGACTTTTATAAAATTTTAACCTAAGCCAAATTATAAAATTTTATAATCAATTTTAACTTATATTTATTTGTTTTTGAATGAAACTTACTTTTATTTCAACTTTAGTTTATAATATATATATATATATATATATATTTAAAAAAAAAGGCAACGGATATACGTTGATTGCTTCGGGCATGCATTACATTCTACGTAACTCTTTTTTTTTTTTAATTCTTATTGTTTTACTTTGAAAAAGAAGAGTAATAATAACACTGGATATTACACCGTGCTGCACCCTACACTTCGATGAAAGTGAAACTTGCAGTCTGAATTTTTTTTTAATGTAAGATCACAGAAAAAATCATTCAAAATTAGTTCAAATTAAAATGTATAAGAGTACTATATTCTGGTAGAGGGTTATCAGCAAAAAAAAATTTCTTTTGAACTCAGCTGCGAAACTACTAAATTCAAAAATTGGACGAGCCGATGAGGTTATTTTGGCTATCTATATTAATCGACTTACAAAACGCAGCGAAAATGCCTTTAGGGTATAACATATATACATATATCAATTTCCTTAATCCAGACTGACGAAGCTAAGTCTAGAACTTAAATTTATTATTTATCCACATTAATTTCAAGAGAATTGAATTATAACAACAGTTTAAAGAGTTATTATTACAGCTTTACAATTTTTTTTTTTACGTCGTTGGAAATTTTACAAGACTTAAAATGGTCGGTTTTAATTATCCTTTCATTTATCCTCGCACCGAAGTGCAGGTGCAGCATGCAGAATAGACTATCACTTCAACCACAAAAGGTAACTTGATTACAAAATTTGTAATATTTCGCCTCCTTAAGCAGAAAAGGGGAAAGCAAGGAAATTTTCCGTGGCATGGAATTCCAGTTTCGTTTCCTATTACCATCAATCAGTTTACCCTCAGGTTTCCGTCACTTTCTCCCAAAAAGAACTCCCCCAATGGCCTACGGTTCAAGCTTTGTGCTATATTAAATTTTGCTCCCACTCTGGCAATCCTTTTTCTCACGTCCAGGTCCTTTAGCATTAAACTTCGCGCAGTTATTTGAAAAGGTTTGATTCGATGTTTGATGCTTTCTTATATATTTATCAATATCCTTTTTGGTTTTATCAAGGAATTTCCGATTGATTTCAATATGATGTCTTTTTGAGGGGATTGTTGGATGTTACTGCATGCCGATAGGTAGTTTGGAAATATCTTTTTGTTTTGAGAGGGTGACATAATTTAAGACAAGGATTTGCAGTTGTAAATAAGCTCTGTTTATTTCTTGAGCTGTTCGGTTATAGCTGCTTCATTTTAGGTGTTTCTAGAAGTTCTGTGGCATATATACAGAAACTATTCGACACTCCTAGAAGGCTCAATAATGGTTTGCTACTTGATTTACCGCCAGCTCACACGTTTTACACTAATTTCGGTTGGTCTGCAGAATTAATCTTAAAGTAGACACATTCAACCATGTTCACATGGACACACACAAACTGTTTATGGCGCGTTGGTGTTTCCTGTGTGAAGAATATGTTTGGTGATTTTGCTCTTCTTCATAATGTTGGACAATTTGGCAAAATTGATAGGCTTCTTTGGCTTTCTCCCATAAATTGGCTAAATCGAAATATATGTAGCCTGTGTAACTTATGTAGTTGAAGCGGTTTCCTTATTTCTATGCTTTATTATTTATTCCTTTATTCCATATATAATGCAATGAGAAGTAAACATAGAATGTCAAGCTCATCTGAGTTTCATTATTTAAAGAGAGACATAGAGAACATAAATATGTTGCTCTCTTTACGTGGTGATTGATAAATTGCCTATCATGTTTACCTACTACACTTTAGTGTACATTCCTCTGGGATGGAATTTTCTTCTTTTAAGCATCATATATTTGTATGTGGGGTGAAGACTCCTCTAAATAACCCATGTTTCTTTATACTTATGTCTAACCATCTCCATTACCTTGGTAATGGGGGGTGGGAGGTGAAGGAATGAAAAGGGATCATTTTCCTTTGTTTGAAACTTCTAAAATTGAAGGGAAGGAAACAGAAGGGGAATAAGCACCCAAAAAAAAAAATCCCCCTTAAATATCCTTACCTTGTTTCCTTCTGAATTTGTGGGGATGGCAGTAAAGAGGGAGAATGATCCTCCTTTTGATTTTAAAAACTTGTTGTTTACTATGATACCTCAAGCTTAATAAGGTAAGTTTATGATAATTATATTGCAATTTTCAACTTATGTTCCCATTTATTCTCTCACGAATCATTCAAACAAGGGAAAGATAGCTCTTTCCAACTCCACCCCAATTCTCTTTTAATCTTTTAAGCACAACCTTAATTCTGACAAAATATATTACTTTTCAATTTGGGCATGGGGACTCACTTGTGTGCAGAGATGTATAAGAATCAGTTGCAAGAGTTGGCTCAAAGAAGCTGTTTTAATTTGCCAGCCTATTCATGCATACGTGAAGGCCCAGATCATGCTCCTCGATTCAAAGCAACTGTAAACTTCAATGGAGAGACATTTGAGAGCCCAACATTCTGCTCGACTCTTAGAAAGGCTGAACATGCAGCAGCTGAGTTAGCTCTAAACATCCTTGCAAAAGGAGGTCTTTCTGCATCTTTGGCAGCAAGAGTTCTGGTGAGCAAATGTTGAAACCTTTATCATTCTTTTACCTTTCTTTCCTGTATTTCACTTATATTTCTCTCTTCTTTGAAACTCACAACTACTTGATTTACATGTCAAGTACTAGTAAGTCTTTTGAGCGCTAGAACATCAGGGTTAAGTATACATTAGCCAAGAGAGCTCTGCTCAGTTTGCTGCTTGTTGTTTAATGAGTGATATGAATACACTGATTCTGATGCCCCTTTTTTTGTGGGTTAATACTTTATTCCTCGCAAAATCTTGGGTTCTTCCTCCCTTTTTTATTTGCAACAAGATGATGTCTCTCCCTTTTCTTTTTATCTTCTTCTATGTTTAACTTTTGGTTGGGGAGAGGGTGGTGTAGGATGAATTATGTTATTCTCTATCTTTGAATTGTTCTCATGGGAGCATAGAAAACTTCTTTATATGTATGGAGACATTTAGACAGATACGCACACAAATTTTTTCTTCTTTTTAATAATAATTGGTATTTACATGTCGACAGGACAAAACAGGAATATACAAGAATTTACTCCAGGAAACTGCTCACAGAGCTGGATTGAATCTTCCTGTTTATACAACTTGTCGATCTGGACTAGGTCATGTTCCTATCTTCTCAAGTACAGTTGAGATTGCTGGAATGAATTTTTCTGGCGAGCCTGCTAGGACCAAGAAACAGGCTCAAAAAAATGCTGCAATGGTTGCTTGGACTTCATTGAGAAAATGTGAGCCTTTTGTTGCTTTTACTGTATCTCTCTTCCTTAGTGCCCAAGTTGTTTATACATTTGCATGTGGAGTCTGCACCCAAACATTTTGCATGATCAAGATTTTTTCTTCAATTCAATGCACTCTTTCTTTCTTTTTTGGGTTTTATTTTCATCTGTTTCTTCTAACTCTAATTATTTGACATCCTCTGTTTAGTGTCACAGCATCACTTATCTCCTCCAACATTATTTCCTTCAGAGTCTAAAGGCGATGAAGAACAGGAACAAGTCATCATTGCTCGGGTTCTTGCAAGTTTAAAACCGTGGGAGTCAAAGGACTTCTCAGAAGGTGATCACCAACATACACAGCAAAGCCACTCTACATCTCTGGAATTGCCAATGCCAGGCACGTATCCTGTGCAATTCCAAAGTTGTGGCCTCTCTGGCTTTTCCCCTGGTGTGTCAATGTATCACATATGGCAGCAAGAACAAATTATACAACAGCAAAATCACCTCTTGGCGCTAGCCATTGCACCACCTATTCCATCCACACCACAAGGCTTCCCCTTGATGCAGTCGGTGCTCCAGTCAGACTACTGTCTTCATATTCCAGTCAAGGAGTCAGTGTCAGTTCCTGCAGGACCAAGATTATACAATCCTGCATTAAGCCCTTCATTTTACTTTTCAAGCTGCAGTGTTTCTGATCGAAACAGGTCAACAGTAATCATTAGAGAGATTCATGAGGAAAAGCCAGAAAATTCAATAGAGTTTTCTCAATCTGAAGTTCCTAATTTCTCAAATTGCGATCCAGGTAATAAAACAAGAGCCCTTAGACCAGCTCTTGAGTATGAGAGACAAAAGCGAGGTGTGTCTGAAAGCGGAAGTAGAAATATTGAGCCACATAACCCTCCTTATATTGACAATTTTTGCCCCATACTGAGAGCCTATCGGAAAGCAAATGCAAATAGAAGTTTAAAACCGCCCACATCTGCATCTTCAATGATCAGAACCATGGATCATGCTTCGTCTGCGGAGCCCAGGTCACAACAGAGAGAACTTCCTCTGTCAGTTTCCTCAGGGATGAAAACTGGGGTCCGAGGAATTCCAGCCATGCCCATGTCTGCGAGGTTTGATATGGTGGGAGCACAGCCTCCTTCTCTATCCATGGCACCACCTGTACGAATCAGATCTGTTGTGCCTGTCTGCTCAGCTCCACCGAGGAAAGCCATTGACGAAATGTCGAAAAGTAAGAATTAAAAATTAAAACGCGTTGGCGAAATGTGTCAAGAAGTTGATCTGGGGTGCAATATCAAATTATGAATGTGTGTGTGTGTGCGCGCATGCCACAGGCGTTATATTCAAAAGCTACCGTGCTTAATAACGGGTCTGTGCTTTTACACGGACCAATAATTATTTTTCATGTTCATTGATAAATCTGCATTTCCTTGATGCCTTTGTGTGAAAGAATTGGTGAAATTCGGGTAAATCTCTCCTTTGTCTATAGAGCATGAGGAAATGAGAGCAGATTTTAACCAGAAAAGTGAGTAGTAAAGCATTGTCATATGATAAATAAGCACTTGCTGACTAACTTTCTAGTGCATGACAAAATACTCGCAACTAAATTTCTGTTGCATCTTGTTCATATTCACGAAATTAAGGCCATGCTTCAGGAAGATTAAGCTCTCAAGCTGTTGGACGGGTCTTCTCATTCAATGGTCAAGAAGTTCCAGTTCTCGAGGCTCGAAGCTTTCTTGAAACATGACTCCAGGGTTACGCGTGAAATTTGTTGGGATATCCTAAATTCTGGACTTGGTTATTTACTTGATAGATAATTGGGGTACTTATTCATTTATGACGATCCAAATTTTGACTCGTTGGTGGGGTTGCTTTGTGAAAGTGATTGACATAGTTGTTAGAGGGACATGTGGACATGATTGAAAGGTGTTTCGTCGTTTGTTCATTTGGAGGTTTTTAATTAAATTCAAGCAATTAGTATTTGTTGGGGGTACTCCTTTCCTTGGCCTATTACATCTCCAACTACTTCATTGAAATATAGATAACTAATTCATTAATTTTGTTTAAAAATAAAAAAACTTTTTAATGTTATTCGTATTTAAATTCAAAATTGAAAATTTTTAAATTTATATTAAATTCTCTCCCTCTCATACTTGATAACTTTGAAAAGGAGTAATATTGAAAAAAAAAATTAATTAATATCCTATCAAATGACCGCATCCATCATTTCTAGAAAATATCTTACTATGAATTATGAAAGACTATAAGGAGCATATGAAAGTAAGTGAAAATAGTATTTGTTACGAAAGAAAAGTCACCTTCTCAACTAATTGTGACATCTATTTTCAAGACAAGATGAACTTATCGTAATCAAAAGTAACATTAACATTGAAGCATAAGACATTGAAAAGCTGGTTCCTCCACATGGCAGTCGGTTGGACCCATTCCCATTAGATGAATCTGAACCCAGTAAAGAGGCTAAGCACGTTATTAGTTGAGTGACGTACATGGACATACAGAAGTGGGGATTCAAGAGAGGTTACGCGGAAGAGGACGCTTTCTCGACTCGTTTTAAAGGTGAAGGTGGTGGGGGTAAAAAGTTAAATATCCCCGGATTATGAATTTTTCTCAAGTGTAAATAATATTTTGAAAATCTAAAATTACATACTTTTATCTTTTGTTATATTATATGAAAAAAAATTGAATTAAGAGTTATTTTTAATCCTTGAACTATAGAAGAAAAGTCACAAATACTTTTAAATTCAATCATGAGTCAATTCTGTTTCTCAACTTTAAAGATTTCTTCTATCATCACCTCAGTATTAAAACACTTAACTTCTATTATTTATCAGTGGGTCCTATTATTTTTTAATATTTTTTATTAAGTTAATGGTTATTTTTTATTTTCAACTTCTATTTTAAAAGGTCATTTTTGTCCTTTCAATTCAAATAGCTATAATAAAAAAATATAATGTGGGACTCACTAATGATCAACTAATTGTGAAAAAAATGAGAAAGGAAATCTTTAAAGTTAAAAAATAGAATTAATCTATATTTGAGTTTAGGAACATTTATGACCTTTCATATACAATTCTTAACCCAAAAATAATATAAAGTTTTCTTTAAAATATGTTATTAAAAATACATTTAAAATTTTATATTTTGACATCATTAGTATTAAAATTATACATGTTATATTAACTAAAGTTGGCTTGAGTTGAGAAAAGTCGACTCATCTATAATTGACAGAGCCTACTCCTTGTTCATATAAAAGAATATATATATATATATATATATATTCCATTTACGTTCTAAAATAATAGAATAAACTGAATTATTGAAATAAAAAATAAATCAATATTAGTCATCAGTATATTAATAATTCAATATATATATATTTAATATAATAATATTATAAAGGAAAAATGATAATAAAATATTTTTAAAATATATAAATAATAATTTAATCCTTCAAAATGCTATAATTTCAACAAAGTATTTAAAGATTGTTTTATTATTAATAAATTTATATAAATAATTAAATTATCTTTGTTGAAAATAAAATGATTTACTGGCTTTATTTAAATAATCACAACCTTCTTTCTTATATTCACAATAATGCAACAATAAATTATAACTTCATATGTTAAATTCTTGATTTATTATTGCATTATTACTAATATAAGATGATTATTTAAACAAAATTTGTGAATTGTTTTATTTTCAACAAGGACAATTTAATCATCTATATAAATTTATTAATGATAAAAAAATTCTTAAGGACTTCAATAAAATTATGATATTTTAAGAAACTAAACTGTCATTTATCTAATTCAAAAAAATTTATTATCATTTTTCTTATTATAAAATCTATTCCTAAGTTTAGGTTAAACTCTGAATAAGAAGTGGGATTTATGGTCTTGTCATGTTTTCAATTTTTATGCTTTGAATAAAGAAGCTTTAAATTTTTTGCCCCATGAATGAAAAATTCAAAAAGAATATCCATGGGTCTTTGTAAAGCCATATTCTGTTGTTGTTGTACCATCGGCGTTGTAAAGAAAGAAGTGCGTGACTTTTCTTTTCCCATTTCTTCTTTCTTGATAACATTTCGCAGTTCTTATTTATTTGTTTATGCCTTGGTCGAAAATCTAATTCGACGGGGAGGTTCGGGGCTTTGACTTGGGCAAAACGAGAAGATCCGCTCGTCACTACATTCCCTCTCTTGTCTGAACTGGAAAGAGGGTAAAAAGACCAAACAGTGTCGGGACAGGATCAAACAAACACAGCTCATATTCCCTCTCTCTCTCGCTTGACCCGCAACAACCAAACTGGCTAATTTAGCATCGATTACTGTAAGACTCTCTTACTTTTGATTCGGCTCAATCTTGTCATTTCTTTCTAAATGCATCAAATATTCTATTTACTCAGATCTTTCGTTTTCACTCATTCTATTTCCACTACTTTGCCACCCACTGAATCTCGCTCGCTTTTACTCAATTGAAAATTCTAAATTTTGCCGGTTCTATTTGCGCTCATGCCTCTTGAGCTTTGTGGGTCATTCACTATTGAAAAGTGGAAAGGTTCCTTCAAGATTTCAAAACTCTTTTCATCAGATGATGTATATGTTTTCTAGTTTTGTTTATTAATTGTTGACCTACCTAGTTAAGGATGCCTGTGATTTTTATTTAGATTGCAGTGATTGTTTGATTACCAGAAGCCTATACCAGGACTATGTTTAGATTCAAGATATGGGGTGTGTGATTAGTCGAGAAGTCTCATCTGAAAAAACCTCAGAGGTGAAAGAGGATAGGAATTTGAGTGCTGGATCGAACGGGAAGATAGATGAAAACTCCACGGGGACAGCTGAAGGGGAAGTGGTTGAGGTCCAGAACGTTGGCAACCAAAAGGAAGAGAGAAATGATTATGATGGTGGGGCCCAGGTTCAGCAGCCCCGGGGCAGAAGGAGAAGGTCAAAGCCAAACCCAAGGCTAAGTAACCCTCCGAAGCATTTGCGGGGGGAGCAAGCAGCGGCTGGGTGGCCCCCGTGGCTTACGGCAGTGTGTGGAGAAGCACTTAGTGGGTGGATTCCTCGGAAGGCTGACACATTTGAGAAAATTGATAAGGTGTGTTTGTGTTTGCTGGGAAAACCTCTGTTTCTGTTATTTGTTAGCGCATGCATTGCATCATGCAAAATCAATATACTTTTAATTGTAACCTTTTGCGGCATGCTTGGTCATGCTATATATGGGCTCTATATTTAAAGCCCAAGCTGCATGTTAAGAACCCTGCAACAACTGTGTTTTTGATACCTCCAGTGCATTCTTGATTGATTTCTTTGTATAAATTCTCTTCCTTCGTTTTTTCTAGATTGGGCAAGGAACATATAGCAATGTGTACAAAGCTAAAGACATGTTGACTGGTAAAATTGTTGCACTAAAGAAGGTTCGGTTTGACAATTTGGAGCCTGAGAGTGTGAAGTTCATGGCCAGAGAGATTCTTATTTTGCGAAGATTGGATCATCCCAATGTTGTAAAGTTGGAAGGTTTAGTCACATCAAGAATGTCCTGTAGTTTGTATTTGGTGTTTAATTACATGGAGCATGATTTGGCTGGACTTGCTGCAAGCCCAGGGATCAAGTTCACCGAGCCTCAGGTTAGAACAGGTTTGCCTAGAAGATTTAAGAAGTGGTTAAATTAAATAAGCTTCTGTAAACTTTCTTTTCATTGAGAGTCTCTGATGTCTGCAATTACTTTGTTTCCTATTGCAGGTCAAATGTTACATGCACCAGCTATTATCAGGACTTGAGCACTGTCATCACCTTCGAGTACTTCACCGTGATATTAAAGGATCAAATCTTCTTATTGACAATGAAGGAATACTTAAGATAGCTGACTTTGGATTGGCATCTTTCTTTGATCCTAACCATAAGCTGCCGATGACTAATCGTGTAGTTACACTTTGGTATCGACCTCCTGAGTTGCTTCTTGGTGCCACAGAATATGGTGTGGGAGTGGACCTTTGGAGCGCAGGTTGCATTTTGGGAGAGTTATTGGCAGGAAAGCCAATTATGCCTGGTCGCACAGAGGTTACAGTTAATATATATTGTTTTGACTAATAGGATTCATCATTTCACTGATGTTGTGTTATAACTCTGATTGTCTAATGTGATTCTGGGATTCTCTATCTTATAACTAGTCTTATACTCCAATAATTTTGTCTTCTCCAAATATCTGCATTCTGTCTGCTGAGTATTTGGCATCTCTGTTAGATTTCAAAGTGTACTCTAAAATGTGTGAACGGCATGTTTCACACCTTTTCTTATCCATTTTTTGAATGCTTAAATAGGTGGAGCAGCTGCATAAGATATACAAACTATGTGGTTCCCCCTCAGATGAGTACTGGAAGAAGTCAAAGTTGCCCAATGCTACCTTGTTTAAACCTCGAGAGCCTTACAAGAGATGCATACGAGAGACATTTAAAGATTTTCCACCTTTTGCACTTATGCTTATTGATACTCTTCTTGCACTTGATCCTGCAGAACGGAAGACTGCATCAGATGCCTTAAGAAGTGAGGTGGGGCTTTGAAAATCCCCAATTATGCCATTATTAAAAGAATTCTGTTATATTTTCCTTTTGTTTACTGCCCTGTTAATGATATTATGATTTCATGTCACAGACTGTTTAGAATGAATATGAATATTTATTTAATTGGTTCATTTAGATTCATAATTTAAATTTGCTTTCTGATGATATATATATATATATATATAATAAGCTGCATATGGAAGTGAAGCCCTGTGATTTTCATGTTCAATGGGTTTTATCAGGCAGGATGATGATTCTCAACAGCAATCATTTCCTTTACATGCTTATGATGCTAACAACAATCTTCATGTGGTCTGATTCTTGAGTTTCTTTGTTTTGGACATATCTTCTATGAACAATGCGCCAGAAGCCCTGAATTAGTTTTAGAGGAAAATTAATTTTAATTTTTTATGAGCTTGATTCTGTGCTTTTCCTGGGCTTTGTCTATTATGGTAAAGTACGCAGACACTCTAGAGTTCTTGTCATGCGGATTACCTCTGAAGTCACTTTTCTCTGTGGTGTTTAACTGCGAGTTAGAATTAGAATTAGAGGTCAATTTACTTTCTTGGTGACATGGTTCATATAGCTATGGTAACAAGTGCAGGAAATTATGAAGTGAAACTTGCCTTAAATCTGATGTAGATGTTATCTATAATAAGCATTGACGATCTTTGATGTGTCAAACTCATACACCCTTTGCTTGGTTTTTCTATCATATCGCAGTTCTTCACCACAGAACCTTATGCCTGTGATCCTTCTAGTCTTCCCAAATATCCGCCAAGCAAGGAAATGGATGTTAAACAGCGAGACGATGAAGCAAGGAGGTATATGTGCCCTTACATTTGCTTCCTGCATATAAGTTATGTTTTTCCTGTGCATTTTTTAAGCTTTGCGATTGTGCACATCACATAAGGTGAGTAGATAAAGGGTGACTGCTCTATATCTTAATTTCTTTGGTTGGTTAGGCAGGCCACCCACATGTAACACATTCATAGAGGCACCATTATGAGTACTTAAGTGGAATGGGGAATTCTCTCACCAAAATTAGTTATGGAGGTGGGAGAATGACCCCCACCTAAATACTCAATAGAACACTCCATACTTCTCAATGTGGAACTTAAGCATTCCTCACTCCCTAAGTCTCGAACAATTGGTTCCCTTTTGAGGGTCGATGTCCTATTGGTTACATGTTACTGATAATTTACTTGACTTCCTTGCTGATTAGAATCTGGTGGAGGTAGCTTTTTCCAAAGGATTAAGGGTCATTTTTTTTCTTGAATTTTACACAAACGGTCATAAATGCTTCTAAACTCAACTATGGGTCAATTTTGTCTCTCAACTTTAGAGATTTCTTTCCTCATCACTTTGCCATTTTCTCACTATTAGTTGGCCCCATATTTTTTTATTATTTTTTATTTGAGTTAAGAGGGCAAAATGACCCTTAGAGTAGAAGTTGAGGGGCAAAAATGTCCCTTAACCTGATAAAAATATTTAAAAAATAGTGGAACTCACTGATAACCAATGGACGTTAAGTGTTTTTAACGTCAGGGTGATAATGGAGGAAATTTTTAAAGTTAAGGGATAAAATTGACCCATAGTTGAGTTTAAGAATATTTATGACCTTTTCGTGTATGATTCAGGAACAAAAATGACCCTGAACCCTTTTCCAAAACTGTCAACTACTGGTTTTAGTACCAATTGATAGGTACTTAAGTAAGTTGGAGAATCCTCCTCTAAAAGCTAGTTATTGAGGGGAGAGAAAGGAGAATCACCCCACTTAAATACCTTAATAAAATATGCCATACTACTTAATGTAGAACTTAGACTTCTCATACTCCCTAAGTCTTCACCACACATAAACATGGGTATGTATAGAAAGTTGTGCCTTTTTCTTTTTGGTTAATGTTTTTTGTTATGATTTAGCCATCTTGTAATTTTTGACCAAATCTGAGATAATTTGTCAATATGGATTTCAGACAACGAGCTGCAGGCAAAGCTCAAGTTGATGGTGCAAAGAAACCCCGAACACGTAATCGTGCTAAACCTAATCCTGCTCCTGAAGCCAACGCTGAGCTTCAATCCAACATTGATGTATGTTCAAAACCATTACTGCTATGGATAATTGATACTATATGTTTGATGCCTATTAAATCACTGGACAATGCTATGGGATTATTAGATCCTCCAATAATGCTTAATTAAATTAAATGTTTGACATTGAGGGAGGACTGTTGGCTAGTATACCTTCCTGACCAATGTTGCACTGGATTGGTGCTGGAGTGAATTAGACACAGAATTTTGTGATCTGATGTTCAAAGTTTTTAATAACCACCAGGCTAGATATATTTAGAAGTTGAAATTATCATGTTGCTTGCTTCTTGTAGACCTTAATAACAAATACTCCCTCTGTTCTAAATTATAGGGCACTTTTAAAGGAGTTTTTCCGTACCAAAATATAAGATACTTTGAGTAGATTAAGGTTTCATTAAATGCACTAATTTCAATATTACCATTTCTCTCTCTATAATTAATTTTTGTCTCTTCTCTTTTCAATATATTAAATGATAGGTATTTTTGGAACTTTATATTTTTGTTTTGGAAAGATAAGATTGTTAAGTGTATTCAATGAGATTTATTGGTATGTAAAATTTTATCTAAAAGTGTCTTATAATTTAGGACGGAAAAAATCAGAAAATACATTATCTCTTTTGATCTGTTCCTCATTAATTATATTTTTTTTTCTTTTGGAGTTATTTTGGCTGGTTCATTTTTTATGGGCGAGAAAGCACATGCTTGTAACTTTTAGTGAAAAATACACTAATTATATTTGTTGCTACAATTTCATGTGTTACAGAGAAGGCGTCTAATAACTCGTGCAAATGCAAAGAGCAAGAGCGAGAAGTTCCCGCCTCCACATCAAGATGGACAACTTGGTTTTCCCTTGGGATCTTCACATCATATTGATTCAGATATTGTTCCTCCTGATGTCTCTTTTAGTTCAACCTCATTTACGCATTCAAAAGAACCGTTCCAAGCTTGGTCAGGTCCCATTGATGCACCCAAGCAGAAGAAACATGCTACCAGTGATGCACTGGATTTATCGAAACAACGTACAGGTGCCCTCAAGAGTAAACGTTAAGGGAAAGAAATTCATTGCTTAGATATATTCATTGCATTATATAGAATCAAAGTAAGAAATTTCTCCGCCTTTGCTGCCATATTTGGGATGAAGTCCAGAAGCCGCCAAATCTGAATTGTGATCGGGCCTGTTGCTTGCCTGCTTCCAGAATGAAGTATTGCTCAACTCAAGTGCAAGGGTAACATCTTTTTTCCAATCTCACCCTTCTTTTCTTTCTCCCATTCAACTACTTTTTTGTATATTGCTTTATATGGATTTACATCCGCCCTTCTATGTTCAATCTGCTGATAGAGCGAACAATTATTATATAATGTACATGGCGATTATATCATTATCGGGATACTTTTTCATGAAGTTGATGAAGATGAATCCTTGAGATATTTTTTTTGTCCTCTTTAGTCAGTGAGATAGGTAGCGCTCTGTGGTACAGACGAACACACTGAAATGTGGGTGAGTATCTTCAAATCCTATACCCAAAATTCTTGAAGGACGATACTGCCGTCCCAGAAAATATCAGAGTATAAAGTTCAAGTTGGGGTTGTCATTTGTCTCCCGAAGCTCGAGCTGCCCCAAATGGCCCGTGGTCAGTTTTTGACAGGGAGATGATGTCCACTGCCAACGCTCTACAAAGAACTTGAAATCCTAGTATTGTGGAGCGTGCATGTTGAAGATATTCTCGGTATGGCTGCTTCGGAAGCTGCGTTGAACTAGGAAGCGAATCCACAGGCAAAACTTGAGAAATGACCTGGGTATAGTGGCCAGTGGGTGAGAGTGCTGCGGAAGAAGATGAACAACAATGTTGTTTATAGTTTTTGTTTACAAATTGTGTGCGATCTAATGATGTTTGCATTGACAGCTTATGACGAATTAGAAACAGATGTGTGTGTGTGAAAATTAGTTGTTCACACCAAAGGAAGAGAGAACAAATTAACAATCATGCCAGTGAACAGTGAATGTTGAATAGTATTTATCTATTTTTCTTTCATATGATAAGTTGATTGATTGATTTTGTGCTAACGGCTCTCTGCTCGACAATCGCTTGGGAGGTTAATCCCATTTCCTTTTCCCAACCACTCTAAATTAGCGAGAATAACGGTGTCTCTTTGAGTAAGTTGACAGAAGCGCAAGCCTGTGACATGCATGTATGAAAACATAGTACATTTTGTTGAGCCACGTATCTACTAGTGGCGGCGGAGGTCTTGATCTTATACTATAAGTCAAAAATCCAAAAGTGTAGCAGCAATTCATGTACATCTGGGCAAACAAAAAAAAAAAAAAGCAGTAATACATGTATAACGTACATTATGTATTCTAGTTGGAGTATTCTTCATTTTATGGTCTCCGAGGGAGAAATTTATGGAGAACGAGAGAGATGACCATCTACATACCTTGCTCGCTCTGTAGTTTCTTGCTGCCTGGTGGATTGGATGGAAAGCAGTAGTTATAGTGGAGCCAATCAAGTGTTTCGGGCGAACAATGGTGAGAGGATGATGCTAAAGTTTTAAAAGAGAATGGATGACCTGTCGCAGCTGCATCAGTTATGCCATATGGACAAAAACACAAGCTTTAGTCCATGGCCAAAATTTTCATATAGCACCAGTTAAACAAGTGACACGAGAAGTCTTTTGGGGCTCATTGTTCTCACTCCTCTGGTGCAAACTCACTTGACTGTCTAAAAAGACAAAGCCAATAAATTGCACTGTTTAAATTACATATAAAAACAATAACAGCAAGCTATGCTTTCATTGTCTACGATAAAACAATAAAAGTAGCAAGCTCTGTTTTCAGTGTCTAAGATACCTCATCTAGAGCATTTTTTGCTGAACTTACATTTGTTGCTACTGTAGCATTTCCTAATTCCAATCTTTCAAGTTTTGAATTTAAAATAGAAGTCACTCCATATGGAAGACAATGAATTGGTCACATGTCGGAAGGTAAATACTACTATGGACGTGTGCAGTGGAAGCGTTATTTGAAGTAAGTAATAGACATAATGACAATTTTTTAAAAGCCAAAAGAAAAATACTACTGTGTAATAAAAAATAACTAATAGATAAAATATGTAACCTTAATGTCTTATATTTCATTAGATTATATGTAATAATTATAAGCATTATAAACTAATATTAAATAATCGGTGAAAATGATACATTTTGTGTATGTATATACATATGGTATTCAAAAAATTTAGAACATAGAAGCATTATTGATGGTAGCCAAAGAACAGAGTAAACGTGTCCAGTCAAGCTAAAAAGAGCAATGCACAGGAACCAAAAAAATCACCTATAGACCCATTACGAAAACGTGAAGAAGGTTCTTTCTCGGGAAGATTTGACATGATGCAGCACACTTATTAATTATTAAGAGGTAAAAATGGCATGCCGGGAAACAATGAAAGGCTCACGTGGAAGTAGTGTGTGTGTAAGAGCAGCTAGTCATCAGCAGTAACTGCCAGATGGACTCATGAGGCTGGCAGTAAGTAAACTGCAAAATTATGTAGATTTTCTTTCACTTAATTTTTCTGTCAATAAAGGCTGGCAGCACTTCGGCCTGAGGATGTAATTGATCTCAAACCAACAACCTTGACTGTTATAGGAAGGTTTCTTATTTTTGGTAACACGGTTACAATCTTTTATAAACTAGTCATTTATAAATAACTTTCTCATTTATAAAATATTATAAGATCCAACACTAAACTTTTGATACAAGTAAATCTTATAGGTAAATGCAACACCACGGATGCAGTTAAAACCCTCTTTTCTCCCCCGCCATTTCAAACCTCATGGCTTTAACTTCCCTCCTCTTTCTTTCTTTTTTTCTTGTTCTCTTCATCTGTACTGCTCTTCCCAAGTTGTTCATCACTACCATCTTTATGATGAGGTGCCTGCAAACTGTATTTACTCGAACCCTGTCCTTTAACTGTAGATATGCACAACTGATCACGATAAACAAATCCATAATAAAATAGAAATAACTACATCTGATTCGCATAACATAAGGCAAGACGAAAAATGTTTCAAATTTAAATTCTTTGAAAATCCATATCCAGCATTGCTGCACCCCGAAATGCGATACAGACGGCACGAGAGAGTGGAGATTTCAGCCTTCAAAAAAATAGAAGTTGTCATCAAAATTTTAAAAAAAATATTGAAAAACCATTTAAAGGAGAATAAGGATGATTGGCAAAAACAAAAAATAAGTTCGGGAGCTAATTGAGTGTATAAAAGATGTTAGACATCCACAACACCCATTCATAAGAACAGTAACATAAAATTTGTTATGCAATATTAATATAATTTTAAAATTATTTTAATTATTTTTTTTATATTCATATGTTTGATATAAAAATAATAAAATTTAAGTAAAAAATATTTATTTATTTATGAGGGAGTACTTGATTCAAAATTTAATTTTAAAATTTATATCATGAGAATTAAAATTCACGTAAAGATAAAAATTATATCAATGATTTTTTTTATTTAAAATTTTCATAAAAAAAATTTTAAATAAAAATCATTTATCAGTAGCAAACAAAATAATTTTACAAACTGTGAATTAGTATGTTTTGATTTACAAAGATGATTTAATTTCATTTTCTCACTCCCATTTATATTTTTAAAACTATCTTGTTGTTATACTTTTTTGAATTCATTAACTTCGAACCTATTGCAGCAGATAAGAATTTCCAAACCTCTCTCGCCTTCAAAGCCTCAGATTACTTCCCGAATCAACCGTTAATTCCACCAGTTCTCTCGGCCCTTTTTTCCAAAAAATACACAGATGTTTTGGTCTCTTCTCACCCGCTCCCCCTCTTCTGAAATCCTTTTTGGCTTTTAATTTTATAGAGGATCCAAGGGAAGGGCAATTACTCACCGCTACACCTTTTTTGTTTCAGATCGTCGTCCCTGTCCTCTTTTCTTGATCGCGTGCATCTCCTTCTTTTACCTTTTTTCCCTTCTTCCGCTGCGTCGCCGTGTGTGTGCGTCTTTGCCATGTTTCCCTCTCTTCTCTGCCTTTTCTTGTGTGTGCCGAAAGCTCTCTCATCTTTGGCTTGTTCTGCATGACTGGCACCCTGCCCTTTTCTCTGCTCTGTGTTTTCGTCCTGCCTTTCTGCCTCTGCGTGCTCTGATCTTTCTTTCTTCTGTCTCTTTCGTCTGCCTTTCTCTGCTTTCTTTCTGCGTGTTTTCAGCTGGTGATGTTTGACCGAGCAAATAGCTTTGAGACCGATTAAGTTTTAACCCATCAGTTTATATCATTATTTTACTCTTTTTTTTAAAAAAACTATAATTTATTTTTTACTTTTTAATCATGTTTATTAATTTTAAAAATTAAATAATAAATTTAATTTTGAATTAAACAAATATATTTTTTTAAAAGATAGCAAAATTTAAAAAAAATTCAAAAAAAGTTGAGTTCTTAAAAATTAGTTTCTAATATCTTAAATAGTTGGGATAATTTTTGAGAGATTTTTAAAAATTTAAGCAAGATTATTATTTATTTAAATTATTATTATTATTTTAAAAAATATAATCCTAAAAAAATTAAATTTTATTTTTATATTTTTTATTATTTTTTGCTTATTTTTAACGAACTAAAAGAAATAAGATCCTAATTCATAAAAGATTATCTAGATTAAAATAAAATTAAACCTATAAATTAAATATTTTTTATTTTATAAAAATATGATCTTAAAAAAGATTAAATTTTATTTTTTATATTTTTATATATAATTTTTTAATTATTTATTATTATTTTTATTAAATTTAAAAAATATCCGAATAAAATACAATATTCACAAGCATAATTTAAAAAACAATATCATATGAACAGAAGAACTTAACCATGAAAAGTCAACTTTTATGCAATACCCAGTAATGGAAGCTTCAACTTGCAATGGTAACTTTGAAATATTATTTCAATTGACAAGATAAAACAAATATTATATCAATATGATATTGAAATTGTTAAAGCATCACATTCACATCCATTGAATTCTAACTGTTTTCAATTAAAGGGTGCAAATAATTCACATAATTCACATAAAACACATTATAACAGGAAAGATAATTTTATACCCTTTTTTGATCCTTTAAGAAGTAAAAGGTGATATATCGATGTTCGCAACAGACAACACATCTTTCCCTTATATATCTCACAAAACGTGGAGGTTGGGGTCAAAAAAAAGAAAAAACACTACATGGAAGATATAGATATTACTTGGAAATTCATAAGGTGTTTCGCACCTGGTAGAAGGAGAAAACCATCTATAGCACATGTACGCCAATCTCTTGGGTAAAATCAGGGGGAAATAAATATGAAAATGGAAATAAACAAAGAACAAAGTAAGCCAATCTCATTGGCGAAGTCAGCGGGAATAAACATCACCTCACATTTAGAGTAATTGATCATCTTAATGTTAAATGGCAAGACTTCAAATAACGTACATGGAATTATTGATCTTCTGCTTCATCAAAGTTTCAAGAAAATGCTGGCACACCAAGTGAACCCCAGCTCATTTCGAAAGAGTGACTGTACCATGCATATGATATGGATAATATTTGGCGTGAGGAGCGAAGCCCATAGGCTGTACACGGTGATCTACCTGGCATTGTCATTCTCAGAGATGATAACCTTAAAGATTTAATATTGTTCCCAAACTTAAAATCCAAAAAATTACAAAATAGATTCAAAGGAATTGAAGCATAAATTACCAGTCTCTCTTGCTCCAAAGATCTATTGTGAAGCAACTTTTCTTTATCCTTTAACGGCACCATATATTCCCTCAAGCCCTACCCAATTCGCTCAGCTCTTCAAATTAAGTTAGAATCATCCCATTGATACCTCCATAACTTGAAAAGACTTGAATAAGTTGTAGCAATGAATGCACAAAGCATTGAACTTAACTCAGACTACCGACGGCAGCGTCGAGCTGAAAACAAGGGAAGGGGGGATTAGAAGACTCTATCCCTCCTCTCTTCCATTGAAAAGGCATGAAGTGGGTGGAGCTGTAATTGCAGGGGAGGGAAATAAATGAACACATGACTGGCCTTGTTAGAAGCAGATGAAGAATGGATGCATCCGCATTGTTACACATTTGCAGCAAACAGGGGATGGGAGGTACGAGCCTTATGGATGCCGAGACCAAGCGGATGGTTAGGAAAGAAAATGGGTTTGGTTAAGTGCGAGCTGAGAGATTGAGCTTGTAGGAGAAGTCAAGAGCCGGCTGTCTTGAAATGAAGTCACAAATGGTTCTGGTCATTACACAATGCTTCTAGCCTGGACAAAACAAAACTTAAACCTCACTAATTCATCCAAGGGAGAATGACAAATAAACACCTTATAATAACAATGTCAAATTAGAATTTTTTTAATACAGGTATTTTAAAATTTAAAAAAAATTATTTTTATCCCTGGTAAATATTCTTACTTTAAAAATAAAGTAATGAAAATTCTAAATATTGTTTTTATTGATGGCTGGTTCAATGAAGGCAATAAATAGCCATGCAAAGAAATAAGAAGCGTTGTACTTCCATGTCTACCATTCATCTTTGAAGAAAATGCTGGGATATTGATCGCTCATATAAAAAACCAGGCTAAAATCAAAAAAGAAAAATTTGGTGCGAGAAGATTAAGAACTGTTTTTTAAAAAAGGGCGCCTGACGATCTTTGGGTGCCAGCCAAGTATATAAGATTAACGCTAATCAATCAGAAAGAAAAGGTTCATCAGTTGGGCGCTATAGGATACCATGGATGACGACATGAGAAGACAACACAGTTCCTTGGATTTAAACACTTTGCCGTGTTCGGATGTGCAAGATGAAGAGAATGAAGATGCATTTTTTCGACCTGAATGAAGAACCAGTTCTTTTTGATGCTGTCAACGAAGAACCTGGCTTACACTTGAGTGCTTAACCTAACAGGGACGATACCCGTGTATGATTCTCCAGGAACAACAAAACACAGTCACAGGCTCGGAGTTTCAGGTTGATGAACCTGAAAGAGATGACAGTATCGGAACGTTAATGGGTATGTCTCTCTCTTCGTTCTTCCGTTCTTTCTTTTTCTTTTTTTTCTTTTTCCTGCTATAAACGAAACGAAAAAAAAAAAAAACACACACACACACACATATTGCTACATACTTTTAATAAAGGATTTGAATTAAGTGATTATACATTGAGTGATTATATTATCTAAATTATTAAAATATAAATAAAATAAATTCACTCATTTATTAATCTTAATTGAAGTATAAATTTATAACCATTGATCTGGATTTTAATGATTCAAATGGTACAAACATTTAATATCTGTATCAAATGGTACAAACATTTAATATCTGTATTAAATACAGTTATTAAATTCAAATCTTTTCACAAACAAGAGAAACAAGAAGTGAGACTGCAAGTCAATCCCCATGCAAGAAGAGAAGATTTCTAATAAATGAAGGTCGCAGAAGCATAGCTCATGTTCTGTTGAACTCAATTGTGGATGGGAGGTTAATGGAAGGTACAACAAAGAAGCTTGCTATATTTTATTCTGTTTCCATAAGAGTGATATAATGAATTTGGCGACTAGTTAGGAATACAGGAGAAGCATGCCATGGACAGACCAACAGCTGTGGAAAGAAGAGAACTCCGATAGACCTTGAATTATTTCGGGGAATTCCTCTTGCACATCGAACCCATCTCAGGTCTCTATCATTTACATTGGGAATTAACAAGACAACGCATACAAGATAGCAAAAGGAAGGAGTATACGACGTCATTCCAACACAATCAAGCCATTTTTGAAAGATCAAAACATGATTAGTTGATTGCGCTTTTCCTTATCGATGCTTGAAGCAAATACCATTCCGCATGATCCTACATTCAAATCAATGCACGACATCATCTATATTGATTAAAAATGGTCTTACATAATCAAAAAGAAGGTCAATTTTTACTCGGTAGCTGGGGACAAGGAGCCATATCGTACATGTAAAAGCAAAAACTTCATTGCTAAGGTAATGTTATTAGTTTCTTTAGCAAGACCCAGAATTAATGATAAAGGTAATGAAACTTTTTTGGGGAAACTTGGTGTATTTCCATTTGCTACAAAAGAGCCAGCAAAGAGGAGGAGTGTTAATAAAGATGCGGGCGTTATGGAAATAAAGCCCATTTCTTCCATAAATAAAGACGTAAGTAGAGAATTCCTTGGCAATTTGACCATAATACTACAAAAAAAAATTATTTATCAATATCCTATACTTTTAAAAATATGTCCTCAAATATTACAAATTTAAAACTTAACTCTAATGATATTAAGTTTCAATATTTTTCTGCATAAAAATACAGAACTTGGCTTCTATCAAATTAAGTTCTGTATGAATTTTTTTTTTTCAAGAAAAGTATAGAACTTGGTTGCTACCAAGCCAAGTTTGTACTTATATTAAAAAAAAATAAAAAATTGATATGATGTGTGTGGCAAGTTATGTCTACTTCATAATTTTTCTTTCCTTCTTTCCTTATCATTAAAGCTGGTAATTCAAGTTAAGCTTGACGGGTCAATTTAAATTTACTTGAAAAAATTTAGGGTTGAGTTTAGAGGAAAAATATTTTTTTTTTTTATGTTCGTGCCTAAGAGCAACATTAGATTTGGTACTTGGAATGTTGGGACATTAAATTGTAAATCTGTAGAGGTTGTAGGGGTTATGATTCAAAGGAAAATCAATATCCTTTGCTTGCAAGAAACAAAATGGCGTGGAGAAGAAGCTAAGGATATTCAAGGTTTCAAACTTTGGTATACAGGAAAAGTAAGTGCACGCAATGGAGTAGGCATCATTATAGATAAGGAGTGGAAGAAGAACGTTGTAGAAGTTAGCAGAATTGGAGACAGAATTATTTCTTTAAAAATGATAATTGGACGTGAGACTGTTAATATTGTTAGCGCTTATGCGCCGTAAGTCGGGATAGAAGCCAGTCTTAAGGAATTATTTTGGGAGGATCTGGAGGGGTTGATTCGACACATACCACAGAGTGAAAAGATTTTTATTGGAGGAGACTTTAATGGGCATGTCGGGAGGGAAGCTGGTCAGTATGCGAGGGTGCATGGTGGTTTTGGTTTTGGAGAGCTAAACAATGAAGGGCAAACTCTTCTTGATTTCTCATTGGCGTATGATTTTAAGATTGCCAACACTTGTTTCAAGAAGAGAGATGAGCATCTCATCACCTACAAAA